CAGATTATTTTTATAACGCCTGTTTATGTGTGTGGGATTACATTAAGAAGTGTACCCCTTCATATATAGACTTGGTGAAACAGGTTTTTTTTGTTTTCAAAATTTTTGGGATTTACGGAATTTTCTTTTTTTTTCCTAGTTCAGTATGCCTAAAACAGTACATTTTCAATTTTTCTGCAAAGATGTGTTAATTCTACCTATTTTAGTTTAAAAACGTCGCATTTCGATTTCAAGGTGAGCGTGCGGATTTTGAGTGTACGGTAAACTCCGAAGATAATGTCAGTATTATAACATTGATTTGTTATTTGTGTAGCCTTTGAAACAGAAATTAGTTTTAATTTTTCGCATTGTTTCGGTTGTTCTGGTATAACATATTGTACCGGCAAAAATTTTATAAATTTTAACTATTTTTAGTGAAAAATGGTCAACTTTAAATGTCACAAAATATAGTGAATTTTGCTGGATAATTCTGAAAATGTTCAGGACTGTTAAGCAAATAGAACTATAATGTTGTAGTTATCAAATTCTTTGTACAAATTCATCCAAATGAGATATATCGCCTTAAACCAACCAAATGTCAAAACTTCCTGAAACGTTTGATTAGTTTATCTTATTTTAATGAATTCTCACAAAAAAGTAGTCAATTACAAACTTTAACGCTATGTTTTTGTTTAGAATACCTGAAACCAATGAGCCACATACAAAACCTACTGAACTTTCAGATAATTAATTACCATACTACTGAACTCTCAGATAATTAAAGTTGACCATTTTTAACAAAAATTTAAGTTGGCAGCATTTTGGTCGGTATTGAACAGCCCAGACAACATTAAAAGTCCAAAACATTTACTGTTTCAAAGACCACACTTATTACTACCCAATGATTTCTACACTGAAAGAACGTACAACTTACTATATACAATACTACAATTTTTCAGTTCTATTAACCTGGAAATCCCAAAAAATGCAAACCTTTTGATGTGTTTTTGAAAATATCACAATCACCAATCTGATCAATGGAAGGAGAATCGGAAATGCCAATGACAAGTAATTCGTGTACAATGCCAGAAAAATGATCATTTTTAACCAATGGTTCGGTTGAATACTTGCACAATACGAAGTGAATATTCCAGTTGCCGGAAGTCGTGTCATGAAATAATCAAAGAAAAAATTGGCAAAGCATGCAAACTGTGACAGGGATATTGCCAGGAAAACATGACGATTCACATCTGCGGTCTTATTTTGATTCGTTGTCCAGTAAATTTTCCAGATTTTCCAGATTACTGAAAAACTTGGAATGATGTAAATCCATGGGATAATAGCCAAAGGAACGGAGAAGTTGCTCCAATCAAATCGATAATTGATATAGGACTGATCGAAATGAATTGTATTCGGATATAGAAAGGAATTAGACATTTTTGTGGGGAAGAAAACGGAAGTGAAATAAAATAACACTCTCTTATTATTCTTTAGTCCATCTCTTCTTGAAGGGAGTGAGTGATTCTACTAATTCTCACTAATTCCCAGAGGATTCTTAATTGGCAGTTTTTGCTCTTGGTGTTATGACTCTTTTAGTATGTGTAAGATCAACTGTTTGTCATTGTCTCGTGACGTATACCTTACTTTCGTGTATGTAGGTTGATAAAAGGATGAGAGATAAAGTAGCGGAAATACCATATTCTGTTTATGAAAAAATCCGGATGTAATATGGCGAAAACTTGGTATTGAGAACATAATGAGAGAAAGAATTAAAGAAAACCCGAAAGTGAAAAAGCAATTACCAAAGAAAGAAAACTGTAAAACTTAATTAGTCGTAGAAACAGTAAATCAATTAAAGGAAGGGAGACAGGAGATTTTTAGGAGCTTTTTGTTGAAGTTACGGCATGCTTTCTGAAGTAACGGGGTACAGTAGTTTTTAGGAATTTGAACTCCTCTTGAAGAGTTCAGACTCCTCTTGAATTATCAAAATTAGCCTGTTAATACAGTGCGTGTAGGCACAAATAATCACGGATCTCGAGTGGCCAGCAGTCAGCCCCGACCTCAATCCAATTGAAAATTTATGGGGACTGCTGGTTCGACGCGTTTACAAGCACGGAAGACAGTTCAACACGGTTCAACAGCTCAAGGACATCCTGCAAGACGAGTTGAACACTATCACAGCGGCGGAGTTGAGAGCTCTCGTGGCCAGTATGCCCAACAAATTGTTCGAAGTCGTCCAGAAGAATGGAGGAGAAACAAGTTATTAATTTTTTCTCTTCGTTATTGTCTTTTTTCGCTGAATTTTCCAGTTTTGTTAATAAACTTGAATTTTGTTAAGAAGTGTTCTTCTTTATCCAAAAAAAAATGACCGAACTTTTGATAAATAAGGTGGATTGAGAAATAAAACTATGAAAAACGATAAAACCAGCACAAATAAATGTGATACAAAAAGAAAAATAGTCGAAAAAATGGGTATCGCTTCAAAAATTCTAGGTGGTCCTATCCTTATTACACGGCCTAAAAAATGACTTTTGGATGGTGGACCGGTACGGAAAGTGCTAGAGTTATAAAAATTTGGCTTCTGGGGGTTTTTTTTTTATTTTGAATCGAATGGCATTCACAGAATTTTGATATCTCTCTTACTTTTTTCAAAATCAAAGGGGGTCCTATCCTTATTACACGCACTGTATTTCTCATCTTCAGATTGAAACCTAATTTTTTTTAGTTAAAGGAGGCCAGACACCAAAAAAAAGTTTTCCTGATATTTTGCATAGAGAACCCCCATGAGGGGTTAAACTCATGACAGGCAGCTCAGGGGTACAGCGCTGCTACCGGCTGAGCTACGGGGGCGCGAAGGCGCCTGAAGACCGATGGTCTACATAAGCGCGGCGCGATTTCGTCCTCCGAACTCTCCCCCGAAATTTTTGCTGTCTCGCCTCCTTTAATTCTCAAAACTTTTCCAGAATCGTTTCCTGTTTTCAGAAAAAAAACAACGTTATGTCCGCCTTATTCATTTCTGGTAACTACAGATGAACATCCCATTTTTTTTAGATTGATTCTGAATCCAAAAATCTTGGAAAATGCCACAGAAGAATAGTTTACTCATTACTTTTAAAACTTCCGACTATAATTCATATGGAGAAAATGTATGGAGAAAATTTATCTGCGCCTCTATCGTATGCGTAATCTTCCGTTTCTCCGAGACACCCTCTTTTACACTTCGCATACACTGCTCTCCAACCTTCTTTTTGTCAGACAAAAATATCGCTGCACGATTTTTAAAAAATGGAGGACAGAAATGACTATATTGACCTAGAAATGAATTGCATAAATAGAGCATGGTAACTTTGTGTGTTAATTGGAACTTTGCAATATTAAAATGCTCCCAATTTTCCCAATTTTTTGAAAAAAAAAGGTGGGAAAATCACTAATTCGAAAACGTCTTGAATTTCAATCGATTGCTTTAACTTCCTGTTGGTTTATGATTACTGCCTAAAATAGTATTGTCTCAAAATTGTCATGAAATTTTTCTATTATTGCACTAATCACAGTTTCCATAGGAAAAACTTCATTTAACCGTTTCAAGACAGTATTATAATTATGCACGTTAAATGGATTGTATTAGGTACACGCTTAAAAGTCCATCGAATTCAAACATATTATAACTATCAATTCATAACTCGTCTTTTGAAAGAACTCGTCGAAACAAAAACATCAGAAGTTGTGATCGTCTTTTTCCTAAACACCGGATGAGTCAAATAGAAGATCCATGGAATTACACAAGTTTGTAGGTCGTTAGCGAAGGATTTTAAAGTAACAAGGTGGGTGAAGTAAGCCGCTTTTCCGTAGTAAAGAATGTACATTACCTGAAAATGGGCTGTGTTCAATTTAAACTGTGATTTTAGTAAATAACTTTTCTTCAAAAATCAGACATATTGAAAAAGGAATCTTAGCAAACATATGATTTTAGCGAACGTTGATTTCGAGAACTTGAAACCGACAAAATTTGAAAACTCACAACGAAAGTTCCATTGATCACATAAAACAGTATCATGGTTACTGTAGTAATACTCAGTGATAACTCGGCTTTATATGAGACTCCACTTCTCTGAAAAGTGATCAGTTGGGCTCTAGCTTTGGCCACTTTCCAGAAAAGTATTATATTTGCCATAACTGATAATGTCATCCATGTCAGAGTGTTTCCAAGGTATAGAGGGGAGTTCCGGAGCTGCAAAAAATTTGAAATCAGAGATCACCCATAAGA